TATAAATAATTCGCATAGTTTTGGTCACAGTACATATCTATACAAATAAACTTGGACAATAGGATGAACTCTGAGGTGAAAATAACAATTGATTAGAGGGTTCGGTTGCTTTAATTATAAATGCTTGCGGAGGGGGGGATGTCTGATGAGATCAATTTAAAGTGTAATATTACTTTAGGGGTCTTACCTAGGATAGTGTCAATTTGTCAGGTGCCCTTCCTGGCTAGAATTATTTTGTGATTCCCACATATATTTTGTGCCTACAAAAATGCATGTCATATATACCAAAAACTATCTTGCATCCCATAAACCCAAACTGGGCATTCCAACAATTAGCTATGCGTCCAGATTGTCTTGTAACAGTATGATGTTTTTCAATGTCACTTCCATCATTGCTCATTTCATACAAATCATGTACATAGGGTGAACGCTAAATAGATCTCCAAAGCAGAAGAAATATGGGCAGAAATCAACGATTTTAAACAATTTCACGATAAAACACTACAGTATTTAGTGTGTATAGATTGTTTTGAAAGCGGGTTTATAGGTTTAATTATACGTCCTCGTCGCCATCGTCAAATACACAGTTTTATAACGGAAATGGCCGCAGTCTGGGAATCAGTGTGCTGACACTGCAGTCTGGGAATCAGTGTACTGACACTGTAGTCTGGGCATCAGTGTACTGACACTGCAGTCTGGGAATCAGTGTACTGACACTGCAGTCTGGGCATCAGTGTACTGACACTGCAGTCTGGGAATCAGTGTACTGACACTGCAGTCTGGGAATCAGTGTACTGACACTGCAGTCTGGGCATCAGTGTACTGACACTGCAGTCTGGGAATCGATGTACTGACACTGCAGTCTGGGAATCAGTGTACTGACACTGCAGTCTGGGCATCAGTGTACTGACACTGCAGTCTGGGAATCAGTGTACTGACACTGCAGTCTGGGCATCAGTGTACTGACACTGCAGTCTGGGAATCAGTGTACTGACACTGCAGTCTGGGAATCAGTGTACTGACACTGCAGTCTGGGAATCAGTGTACTGACACTGCAGTCTGGGAATCAGTGTACTGACACTGCAGTCTGGGAAAAAGTGTACTGCACTGCAGTCTGGGAATCAGGATACTGACACTGCAGTCTGGGAATCAGTGTACTGACACTGCAGTCTGGGAATCAGTGTACTGACACTGCAGTCTGGGAATCAGTGTACTGACACTGCAGTCTGGGAATCTGTGTACTGACACTGCATGCTGTCTGGGAATCAGTGTACTGACACTGCAGTCTGGGAATCAGTGTACTGACACTGCAGTCTGAGAATCAGTGTACTGACACTGCAGTCATTGAATCAGTGTACTGACACTGCAGTCTGGGCATCAGTGTACTGACACTGCAGTCTGGGCATCAGTGTACTGACACTGCAGTCTGGGAATCAGTGTACTGACACTGCAGTCTGGGCATCAGTGTACTGACACTGCAGTTTAGATACTGATATTGTCCTGTGAAGTCTGAATATTCGGGTCGTATTGATATGTTTGATGCTTTTGTTTATACAAACAAACATTAAATATTAAAAGACACACTCTCAAATAAAACCGTTGCGTGTGTAGGATATATGTAGAAGTATTTGATATTTCTTAAACCCAGTAAACCTTGCATCGTCAGATAATGAGATTAATTCATAACTTTTTTGTTCGTTTCTTCGATACATGTATTCATGAAGGTTGATTTACAAAACAACTAATTTAATAATTGCCCTACTAAAACCAAGCCGCAATACAAAAAACTGCTGTCTGTGCATTTATCAAAGGCTATTTCCGTTAATTTAAAGCAAGTTCATAAACAAAATTTCAAATAGGCTTAATAGAGTAAACATAATTGGCAGACCATCAAAGCGTCGAAGTCGTTGTGTTGTGTTCGATATTGACTTGGAACTTTACGATATAATGTACTCCAGGTCAATATAAGGCTATTGGCTTGAAAAAAATGGGGGAAACCAGCCTAATTTTGGAGAAAATGTATGCTGTATTTTAGTTGGTTGTTCATATTTTGGCCTATGGTAGGAATGTTATGCCATAGCTTAAATTCCAGGTTTGTGACATAGGCTGAAAAAATGCTAATCTCATGGTACTTGTTGCTGTCCTGAATTATTTAACAAATCTGGGTTTTAAAATATGTTGAAATGCAATTTTTAACATCGTATTCTTAGACTATGGAAATGTCTAAACAATTTTGAAAAATATTAGGACGGTTTTTGAAAAATATTAGGACAAGTTTCTCAAAAAAAGATCTATTTTATTTTGACATGGGACAGTAGCTTCATGATTGTACACAGTAAACCAATGAACATTGTCATGCGATTTATGACCAACTTCCTAAAATATTATGAGTAGACAGACAATTGTGTTATTTACAGCAATGTACCAATAATACTCGCATTGAATGCATTGTTATACTAACTACTAGTGATTTGCATATAATGCGTATTTATTAGTGCTGCACACAGAGGACCTATTTCGTCTTCAATATCTGATTATCACCATTCCCAATGTTTCAGTATATAAAAGGCAACATGCATACTCCACAAATGTTATTGTGTACTTCGAACAGCACTTTCATCAAATTATTGCTGACTTTCTCGATATTTAGTCACTTGTCGTTAAGTATTTGGTTGTATTTGAAAATTTTAATCTAAAATCGTTACGATTTGTACAAAATTACTACACGATTACCAGGAATAAAGCAGAGATGCTGATAGAACCCTCTAAACTTGATTTATTTCATGAAGATGGCATTCCATTGTATGATATGGTTTTACAAAAAAATAGAAGTACCACAACAAATGTATCGCTTGTTTTCTGCAAATGTAACCTATTCAATAAGTGTTTTAATGCGACAAACACTGTATGTAAACATTGACACGACTTGACCACACCTTTTGTGTACATATTATTGGCACATGTGTATATGTATTACGTGGCAGTCAGAGCTTATGTCAAAGTTTGTCATATTATTCTTACCAAATTTTGAAATTTCCGCTTCGTTTATTCCAAGTTTAGTGGTATCGACATCTTCAGGGGGATTGTAAGCTGTTTGGCTGGCAGGCGGCAATGCTGCCATTGTGGTCATCGAATTAACTGCAGCCATTGGTGTTCTACGTCCGCCGCCAACGCCGTTAAGCTCGGCACTCGAATCGAATCCAGCCGCTTGTTTATCCTTAACCATTTCAATCAGGGCAATTCTAAAACTACCTAATCATTTCTGTTAAACGACGACTGTAAAATAAAGAAAACTCCGCTGTTCCAGCGTGTATCCGCGCACGTAAAAGTTGCGCGAATGGCGATGACGGTGAAAATCCACCTATTAGCAATACAATAAACTCCGTGATACTCAGTGTCAGTACAAAGTTCATGCATTCGTGCATGTACCTTCAATCTCGTAAAATAGCAATATTACCCGGATGAAAACAACCCCAATTTAATATAAGGAAGTAATATAGATATATGTGAAATCAAATATCCCGTTAATGTGACTGTTAAATATAATACTTAATATATGTATTACACAGTTGTATTGGATACTCGTTCGTGTTTTACAAGCTCCAGAAAAATCAGCGAACGACCAAGTTACAAATTAACTGGCATGTACTAATTGGCATATCGATAAGCAACTGTGCGGCTGCTAACATTTGTGTGTAGTCATGGTAATTAATATAATTGAACTACTTAAATACACAAGGCTGACTTCTACGTGCACCATAACATCTCTCGCTGATACTTATTCCACAACATAATAGGAATGCGGCAATGTCGGTATCATTTGTGGCCATCGGCATCCACTATGTCGATAGCGTATGTTCTATAAAACCGTTAACTGAGACCCCTGATACGTCACATGACATTCCAAAACTCGAATACATACATCCATTATCATTATATTTTTGTGTCATGATTTTCAACTGACAATGTCCATGCCATTGAACTTGTGTGACTTTCTTTTAATAAAATTCTTACAATTTAAAAAAATGCTCAAGGAATTTATTAACAAAAAATAGTAAAAATTAAGGTAAGAATCAGTTGTTATATATATTTAACGTTGCTGCATGCTACGCTCCTGGATTTATACGTTGCCGTATAAATGTATATAGATGAAAGGAATGCGCTGAGAGTATCAGAATTTTCTAATAATTCATAACCACAACCAACACTGTCCCATTCACAAGTCGTTTACATTCACACAATATTCATAACAAATAGTTCAGATTCGAGAAAATAGCAAAATGTAAAATGAGGTATACAAACTTCCAATTGAACATTGAATAGTATTAAGTTGTGGTCGCGAGAACGTTTTATAAATATACATATTTTGTAAATCAAAATGGATGTTAGAATTCAGAAATTGTTAGTTAATTCTAATTAGTATTACACTGAGCAAAGGGACAGTAGTGTTCATGGTATGCTGGATGTTACATTTAATGCAAGGGAATCGTCACCTGCGAATGCGATAGACGGCTATAGCGTGTCATTGTTTACAAAAGCCTACCCATGAGCCTTCGCGTTTTTAGGTGGGTTGTTATCATCGATTAGGACTCAACTACCGCGCGTGCTCAGGACACGACCCGCTCACTTTAAAACAAGCACCAACCCGTAACTGACAAGACAATAAGTCATTACGCTAATATTGTGGTATTGTAATAGCAGCCATAGAAGCAAATACACAACAAATACATTAGGAGTTTGGTGTAAAATTTGAAATTAAAATTGCTTTGAATTTTGTTATAAGTGCCCTGTGAACGCAGATCCTCTAAACTCAGTATTGTTTACTTTGTGTTATCTTTGTGTTCTTCTGCGTAGTTCCTGTTGAACCAGTTAAAGTTTCTTCTACAACTAGTTTCCGGGTTACATCTAAAATTGGCTGATTCGCTCCTCAACAGGTTGTGCCTAAAAAGTCTCGCGTTTCGCGAGACATCTCACCCTAGCGATAAAATACGAGATCCAATATGTCGCCGGATGAGTTCATTTATATGTGTGTTCTGCTATTTTCTCTGCCAGTAGGCCATTTAGTAAAACATGCTAAAAGTCCAACCAGTAAAAAGATAGTCAGCAGTAGTGTGGGAATCGCCTTGGTTGCGTCACTATGCCATTACCACATTCTACATTCAATTGTCACAACTATTGGGACATGTGTGATCGTCAAGGTAGCGGGCTGGAGGTAGGTCATGGTTCATACGTCCATGGACGAATGACAACACATCACCTAAATTACCATAGCAACCACGTCATCATTCAGCAATTAGATAAAAGCCAGCAGATCAGCCTGCAACTCTGATACCTTTGTTTCGGTATCAAGGCCATTTATTTCGAGTTCATTTGTACTTCCATGATTTGAACTAGGAAAAAAATACTATAAAATTAAAATGTGCTACACTGGTGTTTGGTGGGTGAGCATTCAGTTCATATAGATATTTATGTTACATCTGTTAAATAAATTACTGTAAACAACTAATTGTACATGTATCACAGGGAGCCCAGAAACTATGATCAACCCACGCAGTCCCTATGAGTGGGGGGTGGGGGGTGGTGGTGTATCGGCTGGTATCTAGTGTAAGAAATAGACAGGGGATGAAGGCTCCACCAAGCTCATATTTTTTAAACTGTAAAAAACAGATGAACAGAATGAAAAATAAAATCTATAAAAAACACCAGGTTGAAGAATATTAGTTGTTCTTTCAAATTTCGCCAAAGCCTTACCTATATTTTACCTATATCTGCAGAATAAATCAAGAAAACTGCACAAATTGACTTCATTTATGAATAATTAACGGTTGGCAGAACTACTAGTGTTTCATCATTGAGGTCAAGTCATCGATGTGACATTGCAAAATTGCCTGCCCTAGTTATGGATTAGCAAGCTGCTCCAAATATTTCATGAAGCCAAAAAAACATGCTTTCAACCACTCTCCTGGGTAAGGGTTGCTACAATATTGCAACATTAATTTCATTGTTGATGACGCTAAAGCCAAAGGTGTTTATACATTTTTGTACCTCCATGGTTCAATAGGCACCACTTAAAACTTTTTTTTTATTTAAAGCAAAGAAAAAAAGGTGAGATGTGCCTGCTCCTAGTTAATAACTTGTTAATGTTCATTCCCAAATTGGCTTTTTTGATGTTTTCAAAAAAATTGCGTCACCTCAAAATTTTTTTAAGAAACTTTGGACCAGAAACAAATCTTTTTTTTGGTCTAACAAACTCCTTATGTCTTAGATTGCAAATAACATCTCTTATAGGTTTGAAATCTCATTGAATATGATACTGTTATTGTTACAATAAAATAATAATTAAAGGTTCTGGGCTTCTCGTATACCAGTGATAGAGCCTAACAATCTAAGATTTGTCTAGAAAACCTGTGTAATTGCTAGACATCTCATATTTACATACATTGTTTACAGACATTGTCACAAGCTGACATTTGCTTGGTGCTTTGGATATATTGCATTCTTTCGTATGGTTCATTTTATTGGTTTGCCGTACCCTCCCTCATTCGCTAATGCTGTGCAGTTGTTACTCACACTCAAGGTAGGTTTTTTTCTGTTTTTGTTGATACAGTTGTCAAAAGGCTGAATGCATCGATTCATGTACGTCATGTTCTGTATCTGTAATTATGTCATGTGATCAGCTTTGATTGGGAGTCTTGTTGCCATAATGTTTCATAATTTGTAGTGCAAGTTTTTTTTATAACCCAAAATGTAATCGGCACAAGAATGTTTGGAGTGCCTATCTGTGTTAAGCCGAGTAGCTACTAACGTTTGTTGAGAGTAATGATTTCATAGAAAACCCGAACAGTAATTTGATTTAAGAGGGACTTGTAATTTTTTAATTTTTTATTTGTCAATGTAACCTACATGTACATGTATCCAATCCTGATCATTGGTAATGCTAACACATTCAATCCTGATTGTTGGGGATGTTAGCAGATGCAATCCTGATTGTTGGGGATGTTAGCAGATGCAATCCTGATTGTTGGGGATGTTAGCAGATGCAATCCTGATTGTTGATTTTTTTAATACTTCATATCATAACTGAAATCACAGTTTTACTAGTTAAATTATTCAAGTTATATTCTGCTGGTTACTTTCCATGTGATTGGGTATTGGGTTGATTGTACCGTTACACAAAAAAGGATGGAATTGACAATGTAATAAGTATAGGGAAATTACATTATTGTCACTGCTGGGTAAAATATTTGCTTCTATTATATATATCTATTATTTATACCAGATTGAACAAACGGGTTGAAAAAAATTGTCCTTTGAACGAAAATCAAGATTTCACTAGATAATATGTTTATATTAAACATTGTCATAAATAGATATTTTACTCCTAAGAGCAGACTTTATTGTGTGTTTGTCAATTTTGTAAAAGCATTCAACCATATTAATCATTATATGTTAATCTTTAAATTGCTAAAAATTGGTCTTCATGGTCGCTTTTTCAAAGTTTTACAGTCTATGTATAAAAATATAAAGTCTTGTGTATGAGGCCCAAAAGGGGTAATGGAAACGTTTAAATGTCTATGTGGGGTTCAACCCAGTTCTATCGTGTCACTTCTTTTGTTTGCTTTGTTTATAAACAAACTTGGTGACTATTTGAAGCATCGATTTTCAGGTGTATATGTTAGTTTACCTAAGTTGTTTTACTTACTATTTGCTCACGATTTAATATTATTTGGTTTGAATGCAGTTGGTTTACAAAGACTGCTGAACAGTAAAAATTACAAAAGTTCATAGGAAACATTTCTCAGATCTCTATTTGTACTTCATCACCATCTTCATTAAAGTTAAACCTCCAAAGTCCAAGTCGGCGTCACTGCAGTGTTGCCACTGAACAAAATCCCTACAGCTTCGTCCTAAAGTTTGTCGATGTTGTTGCACACAATTTTGACTTTTACTTCACTTTACTTTTACTCAGCTTGGCACTTTTAATTCATGTCTAATCACAATAAAGAGACACGAAAAATGGGGTTGCGGCAAACAACTCTGCTGCAATGACACACGATGCTTTTGTTTTACAGTCTTTCAATCATCTTTAAACATCTGCTTTACTGATTGGCTAAGAATGACATCACTACTAGTGTTTCATCATAAGGTCAAATCATGCTTTCTTATCAGACGAGACGCTCATCAATCATGGTCAAAGTTATCATTCAGCAAGTTGTGGAGGTTGGAATATCTCACTATATGGGTATTGCGGTGGGCTTGAAATAGAGAGAATTTTTATTTTTCCAACGATAGAAGAATAATTTTCATGACAGAAATGCAATAGCTGTGATGAAAGGTGGCATTGCAAAATTACTGGCCCCAGTTATGGATTTGCAAGCTGCAAATATTTTATAAAGTCATTTTACACTCGGTCAATATATGAATGTTGGTTCACCAGCTTTTTTCCCACAAAAATGGCTAATTGTGCTTTAACATTGCATTGTATTGTAATGTAACACTGTAACATTACAGCAGAATGTTATTTTATTTTTATTTATGTTACCAGGGGATTTTAGCTCCATGCATGCACTTAATAACCCAATGACAATTGTCATGTGATCTACCTTATTGTCTACATTACTGTGCACAGTGGATTGTGTTCAACCTGAATTGGTTGATACAAGGATAGCACCTTGCGATACATATATAATGCCATGACACACAGCTCCATAATGACTTGAAGGATAATGATGTTGAACATAGCCTAACCTAGCCTAACCTAGCCTGAACCTAGAGACAACATTATAGCGCTGTATCTAAGCATTGCTAGAAACATAACATCCTGATCAAAATTTTCCAGGTAATCTGGACATTTCTATTTTTTTTTTTATAAATACAAATATTTTTGACCCCATAAAATATACGCTTGTGTCTACAAAATCATAAAACTGAAACACAGCTAAATAAATAAGATTAGGTAAATCAGTCACTGGCAACTGTAATATTGAGGGCAAAATACTGAAACTTTTGATTTCAAGTGATTTCTACAAATACAAACAGAATTCATTCATTGAGCCAGATTTTACCTATGTATGCCACAGCTGCATTCAAGAGCAAAAAAGTCACAAAAAAGTAAAAAAATATGGCATTCATGCCAGGCTTCAACAGTTGAAGTTATAAATGTAAAGATGGCAACATGCAAAAAGGTTATCATGGCTAAAGCCAGATGAAAATTTGGGAACTAAAGTGCCAAGCATGCATGTCATAAATGAACAAAATACTAAATGTCTACAATTTCCACAACCAGATTAAGTCAGAATCAAAAGGCCAAACATGTGTGTGCTAAACTTTGTAAGGTTATTTTTTTCTTCAGATTTAAAACACAGATATTCTTGAAACTTGAAGTTACTATGCAAGTACAATGATTACAGGGTAGTGTAAAAATCTCTTAATTATTTCTAGATGGTTGGCATGACGTTTGAGATCCATGATTCATATGCCGCAAAGATTAATCCTCCAATTCAAGATAGTGATAAAAAACCCAGAATTGTAGTCATTATAGATGAGCCATCAGTTATGGATATATGTCACTATGCATACTGTTATATTGGTATTATGACAGGTAAGTCATGTCTTCTCTAAAACCATTGAACCCAACAATATTGATCTATTTCACTATGCATAATGTTATATTGGTATTATGACAGGTAAGTCATGTCTTCTCTAAAACCATTGAACCCAACAATATTGATATATTTCACAATGCATACTGTTATACTGGTATTATGACAGGTAAGTCATGTCTTCTCTGATACCATTGAACCCAACAATATTGATATATTTCACTATGCATACTGTTATATTGGTATTATGACAGGTAAGTCATGTCTTCTCTAAAACCATTGAACCCAACAATATTGATCTATTTCACAATGCATTCTGTTATATTGGTATTATGACAGGTAAGTCATGTCTTCTCTGAAACCATTAACCCAACAATATTGATCTATTTCACTATGCATAATGTTATATTGGTATTATGACAGGTAAGTCATGTCTTCTCTTAAACCATTGAACCCAACAATATTGATCTATTTAACAATGCATACTGTTTTATTGGTATTATGACAGGTAAGTCATGTCTTCTCTGAAACCATTGAACACAACAATATTGATCTATTTAACAATGCATACTGTTATATTGGTATTATGACAGGTAAGTCGTGTCTTCTCTAAAACCATTGAACCCAACAATATTGATCTATTTCACTATGCATACTGTTATATTGGTAATATGACAGGTAAGTCATGTCTTTTTTGAAACCATTGAATCCAACAATATTGATATATTTCTTTATGCATACTGTTATATTGGTATTATGACAAGTAAGTCATGTCTTCTCTGAAACCATTGAACCCAACAATATTGATCTATTTCACTATGCATACTGTTATATTGGTATTATGACAGGTAAGTCATGTCTTCTCTAAAACCATTGAACCCAACAATATTGATATATTTCACAATGCATACTGTTATATTGGTATTATGACAGGTAAGTCATGTCTTCTCTGAAACCATTGAACCCAACAATATTGATCTATTTCACAATGCATACTGTTATATTGGTATTATGACAGGTAAGTCATATCTTCTCTGAAACCACTGAACCCAACAATATTGATCTAGTTCACTATGCATACAGAAAATCATGCATATATATGTATCATGAAAAACATTTTACTATAGTTTAAGTGATACAGTTATCCATGACAGATAAAATCATGTCTTCTCTGAAACCATTGAATCCAACTGATTTGCATAGAGGATTGAGTAGAAATCTGCATCTGGGACTTGTTGCAGTGTTGGTATAAGTGAACCTGTAAGCATTAATGCAATAAAATCAAGATGTCTTATTTTCTTTCATTAAAATTGTAATCGTTAATGTGTTTTATTACAGGTCCTTACTACAAATACAAAACATACTATGATATGATCCACAATGAGAAATCCAGCAAAATAGACACAATGGGACCGCTCTTTGATAGACTAAAGTTTGCTGCCCTCTATGGGTCTATGTTTATTGTATCTTCACACTACATCACAATAGACATTGCTGTGACTGATGAGTTCTTCTCCTACAGTTACTGGTTCAAAACTTTCTTCATGGTTCCAATGTTCTTTGTGTTTCGTACTCGCATGTATGCAGCATGGGTGCTCTCTGAGTGTATCTGCGTCATGGCAACTCTTGGAGCATATCCCAAAGACACCCTTCCCAAGTGTGCACAAGGACCAACTGTTGAACTACCAAAAAATAGGTAAGAGTTATCTTGCGTGTCCTGATCTAAAAAAAAAAAAAAAATAACTCTTGCATTGTATACTAATCATTTTGAAATCATTTGTGAATATTTATTGCATTACAGCTAAAACAAAGTCAGCTTGGACTTTCAGTTGCGAGACATGACAAAACAATTGCAGCCAGTGATACATTTCGAAAAATACAAATACAAAATAAACGCAATCAAAGGCACCGACCACATGCATTGGAAATGAATAGAACACATTGGGACACAGTCTCACCAGCTTCTTTCTCTCACCCAATAAAATTATGCTATTTCCCAATGCACTTATATTGATTACATTGACAACGGAAAAACACAGTGGATAAACTTGAACCAGCCATCAAATTCAAAGTTCAAACGATCTCATTGAATGTCAATCAAAAATAGCTAATTAACATGGGATTTGCCATGCAAACATCGTCAAGGTTTCCCCTGACACAGATTTGTTTTCAAAATTTTCCATGACGCAGCAAACTCTGCTCATGACCGGAGACGTCATCGTCGTTGATAACTCACTAATTCACCATAATCGTGCTGATGAACTATTAGCTGAATTTTTAGATCATATGGGCATTCAATTCATATTCACCTCAAATTATTCAAACATTCTTTCAGAAATTTGAAGACATTGTTAAAAAAATCCTATTGAGGGATATGTCTGATGACAACTAATAATTCACAATTATCCAAGAAGTACTAGAAATTGTTGCTGATACTAATCACGTTTTTTTATCAGAAAGTTGAATACTTGAATATGTAGTATTATTTTGTTTTTTTATTCTCGAAATGTATCATTGGCTGCATTTATTTTGTCGTGTCTCACAACTGAAAATCCAAGGTGACTTTGTTTTGGCTGTATTTGTGATCAGTCATCCTGAAAAATTCAAAATTATTATAATTGTATATTGGTGTTCTTGTTTAATCAATATTTATCTTCACCATCTTAAGCAGTACTTAATCTTATGCATTTTGAACTTCTTAAATTACAGAGAAAAAGACACTAGCTCTGATGATTATTATAGTTTTGAAACCATTAATAATATCAATGGATACAAGTGTGACTTCACTAGCTCATTTCGAGATGCCATGAGATATTGGAATATGACGGTACAGTGGTGGTTGGCGAACTACATATACAGACGAGTGCCAAGTAAAGCATGGAGGTAAATAAATGACATAAATGTATTAATGACATCCTTCATGTTGCAGTTTACTTTACAAGACTCTGGGTACTTAGAAGCGTATTTTAGAGAAAGTTTGTCAAAAATAGAACGACAACGTTCATCGATTTATTATGTACAATCGTACAATGGCACAATGAAATAGCATTCTTTTGTGTGTTACAGTGATGTATTTTGAAAAATTTATCCTAATATTTTTCAAAAATCGCTATTTTTAGAACAATTCCTAAGAACACAATGACTCTTTTTAAAACCCACATTTTTGAAATAATTCAGTACACCGAAAATAACCTAATCATTCACAATATATAATTTTTTCAGCATAATATCTCTGATCCAATCATGTATCCCTGCAAGCCAGAAAGCCATCTTCAAACAAATAACATGAAAATATATTATTACATAAAAAGTTATAATACTGACAAAATGGCCACTATCAATACAAGCATCATTACACTATTACCGTAGAAGCTGCACACCTTCTTTTTGAACAATTGAGAACCAAAAATTCACCATTTCTCATATGTGTAGATGCTCTAAGAGAAGCCGCATCCCTTCTGTTGCATTGTACCATTTTAATAGAAGCCAGGATTTCTAATACAAATTTTACAGTACTTAAAGTAGTGGAAACAAATCTGTAATTCACATTAGCACGTACGATGTACATGGGAAAAAACAAAACAAACTTAAATTAGTCTCTAATTTGAAGTTTGAATAATCTTTGAAATGGTTACGTACATTAAATTAATTCTTTATAAGTTGTACTTGCTAAATTCAGAGTATTGCATTTATGCTAAACTACACATACACTGAAATTGATAAATAACTTTCAGCATGATTTTGTGTAATAATTATGTTTAATAATTTTGTTCAATAACTTTGTTTGATATTTCTTTTACTTCAAACAATGGATTATATGATTTATTGTTAAATAATTACTCTGTTTTTAGTGCCCGTTCGAACAGTGTGTATCTGTATCAATCACATTCAAACTTCACACATACATCATATATGATATTATACATATGCACATCAATTTTGTTTCACGATCTGATTCAAGATGGTCGAATGGCTACCATTTTTGTGCTAAAAATCATCAAAATCAAGCATTTCCCGGCTGTTTACAGATATATTTTGTTCAAACTTTGTATATACATTAGACATTATGGGACCTTGATGCAAATAATTTTGTTTTTCAGATAACATTCAAAATGGCCGACTGGTGGCCATTTTGTTTTAATGAATGGGCTTCTAGACCTATATCTCTGACTTGTTTTGACAGATTATGTTCAAATTTTAAATATTCATTATACATTATGTCATAGATAGACAGATATATTGGTTTGACGATCCTAATCAAAATGGCAGAATGGTGGTCATTTTTGTGCTAAAAAATCATCAAATATCAAGCATTTCTGGCATTTATGGATGGATTTTGTTCAAACTTGGTACATACATTAGACATTATGTGCTCATACCACTAATTAAAACTCCATAGACGACAATGTTAACATATGATGAGATTGCTATATGAAAATAATAAACAAAGTTGAAAACATAGCTCTAAAATGGGAAAGCAACATGCCTGTAATCAACCAAATGAAAAAAACACACATGTTGGCCAGCTCAAACTTTTGCAAAACTCAGGTAAACAAGACACACCTACTGTATTTGGACTGCACCTAGAGAAATCCCTGGGAAAACACCAAGATTAGAACATCCAAATACACACGGAATAATCCCACAGGTACACAGCCGCTAAGTAGTAAACAAAAGACCACATGTTAGTCTCACCTCTGACCCAGGTGATCGTGCATTCAAACAGGGAACACCTGAGAATAATAACATTAAAAAATGTCATTGGTTCCTGCTAGGCATTTAAATTGAGGGCTATGAGCAGCCATTGGTTAATTAGTGGCATGAGACCTTTATGGGTTCCTGATGCACGTCATTTTATTTTTCAGATCAGATTCAAAATGGCTGTCTGGCGGACATTTTGTTTTAATGAACGTCTGACTTATTTTGACTGATTATGTTCAAATTTTTAATATTCATTATACATCAAATATCAAGCATTTCTTGCATTTAAGGATGGATTTTGTTCAAACTTATAACATACATTAGACATTATAGGTTCCTGATGCATGTCATTTTATTTTTCAGATTGGATTCAAAATAGCTGACTGGTGGTCATTTTGTTTTAATGATTGGGCTTCTAGAGCCATATCTCTTAAATGCTTTGACTGATTATATTCAAATTTTATATATTCGTTATACATCATGTTATTAGCTCCGCTGTCGACTTTGTCGAGCAAAGCTTATCATATGAGTGATTGTCCGTCGTCGTCCCTCCGTCCGTCGTCGTCCGTGTCAATGTTTTATTTTTTCAACTTCTTCTTGAAAACTACAAGCCTGAATGCTTTGATACTTGGTGTGTATGTACCTGGGGTAGACCTCTCTTAGATTTGTTCATTTCATGATGATATCTTCAATTCTCTAAATTTGGTGAATATTTTTGTCATTTTTGGTAAAAAGTGATATTTTTGACTTCTTGTTAAAAACCGCAAGTCAAAATGCTTTGATATTGCATGTATAGATGCTACATGTGGACCTTTCTCAGATTTGTTCATTTCGCGATGATATCTTCAATTCTCTAATTTTGGTGAATGTTTTTGTAATTTTTGGTAAAAAGTGATATTTTCGACTTCTTGTTAAAAATCGCAAGTCCAATTGCTTTGATATTACATATATAGGTACTACATGTGGACCTTTCTCAGATTTGTTCATTTTGTGATGATATCTTAAATTCTCTAATTTTGGTGGATATTTTTGTCATTTTTGGTAAAAAGTGATATTTTCGACTTCTTGTTAAAAACCACAAGTTCAATTGCTTTGATATTACATATATAGATGCTACATGTGGACGTTTCTGAGATTTGTTCATTTCATGGTGATATCTTAAATTCCTTAATTTTGGTGAATATTTTTGTAATTTTTGGTAAAAAGTGATATTTTCGACTTCTTGTTAAAAACCGCAAGTCTGATTGCTTTGATACTACATATATAGGTACTACATGTTGACCTGTCTCAGATTTGTTCATTTTGTGATGATATCTTCAATTAACTAATTTTGGTGAATATTTTTGTAATTTTTGATAAAAAGTGATATTTTTGAATTCTTGTTGAAAACAGCAAGTCCGATTGCTATACATACTATACATATTGTTCATTTTCTAAGGATATCTTCTGTTCTTTAATTGAAATGTGCCTTGCTAACAGCGGAGCTATGTATTCAAAATGGCTGATTTTGCCACTTTTTTAAACCCAGATTTTTAAAATTATTGAGACTAACAAAAGGTACCCCACCATTTACAATATAAATTTTTTTCATTCTATGTCACCAAGCCTAAATATATGCCTATGGCATAATTCTGTAGAACATGTTGAAATAGCTGCATGCAATTTTAGCGGATTTGACTCTTGGCATGAATTAACAAAATCTTAATTTAGATAAAGTGTCACGCTACAACTTCATTTGTGATGTTGCTTGCTGGTCGTGGATTGAATGAGTCTTGGTTACCGGTTAAAACGTTGCTCATTTGGCTTTGATAATCTTTATTTGGAGCTGAGTAACGCCGCAACGTCGCCAGCAGAAACCTCATGGTATCTCGTTGTTGATGATTGCGGCTTCATAGTAATCATTGATTTAACTGTGGGTGGATCTTACGAGAGCCCTTCAAGGTTTATATAACTCAATTTCGAGGTGGTCAACATGCATTAAGTTCTCCCAATCGTAGTATTCCATGAGATGTATACCTAGCATGCCAAAAATGTTGCTGAACTATTTGAACCGGACAAAGATAGCAGATGAAAATACGCTTAACAAATAAAAATAGTTTGGTAGCCCATGGAAATACCATTTTCATTTGCATATTGACCGTGAAAAAACCGAAAACATTATTGCATGGGTGATATGCAAATTAGTTTTAGTCAAAATAAGTACCATTACTCATGTTCAAATTTCATTCCCCTCGGCAAGTATATTCATGTACCCCAAAGGGAAAATATTGTACTTCTAAATATTGTTTATTTTTGCTATGTTTTGAAAAACGATACTCCTAAAGGGACTACTGTAAAATCTGTATTAGAAGCCGCGGCTTCTATTAAAATGGTACAATGCAACAGAGGGGATGCGGCTTCTATTAGAGCATCTACACATATGAGAAATGATGAATTTTTGGTTCTCAATTATTCAAATAGAATGGATGCGACTTCTATTAGGGATGCAGGTTTCTAATACAGATTTTACGGTACTATGTTTGCTCTCAGACCTCATTTGCATATGGGGTGTGGAAATACCAATTTTGATTTCAGGGACGAATCAAAATAAACTGCAGTACATATGTAATAATATATTGTCATGTTATTTGTTTAAAGATAGCTTTCTGGCTTGCAGGGATACATGATTCGATCAGAGCTGGTCTAGTGTTCAGTTTCATATTTTCGTCACATTCATCATAATAGATGCCTATGTTTATTTGTAAGAATTTCTTTCAAAGTTTGTATTAAATGTCAAAAATTCAAAATATATATAAAAACATGAACATAGATCATTTAGGATAACATAACTGAGTCTGGGTGCAAATGAATTCATGAGTGGAAACATTTCCTCCTAACTCGTACAACAGATTACAACTATGGGTGTGAGTTGTCAAAGTTGTATATGCATGATGTTAGTCACTTGGTACACATTCATATTTGACTTCTGCTTCATTCTCAGCAAATTGCCAAGTGCCTTAATTCCCACCATGAAAACATTGCTAGAAACAGTGTCATTTGGTAACACCATAATGAATAAGCTAGCTCACGTTTACAATAGTGGAGACATGAACTTTACTTGTATTTATGATCATATAGTAGATTGCAAATTGTCCTGCAATAAATCTGAATTTTGTTGATACTACATTAGTCTATTACTGTCTATGCACTTCTAATTTATTCGGAAACAATTTACCTGGCCACATGGCCAGTGATTTGCATATTCAGTTTGATTGCATGTGTTATGCATGTGGCAATACATGTCCATAACAATTCAATTTATCATTAGGTAAAAGACAGACTTGCTGCAAACATCTTATTTTTTGACTAAACTGGTATTACTTTATCTTAGGCATGAATACAATTTCTCCTAATTTCAACAGGGACTGCATCATTAACAAAGGCTTGTTATTTTACAGAACATCTTTGACAATGCTGGTGAGCGCGTTTTGGCATGGTATTCACCCTGGCTATTACCTCAGCTTCATGACTGTACCTATTATACTGATGGCAGAAGATGTCATGATCAAAGCATTCCGTAGACCGAGTAACGAAAAGATCTTTGATTGGCTCAACTGGTTTTTCCGTATGCGCAGTTTTGAATATTTATCCATGGGTTTTCTGCTGCTTAAGATGGACTATACACTTAATTACTGGAAGTCAACTTATTTTATTGGTCATGCTTATAGTGCAATATTCATTCTATTTGGCACCTTGTTCAAACCAAGGAAGAAGAAATTGGATAGCCAAACTGATGAGGCAAAGAAAGAGAAATAAAACAAAACATAGAATCTACTGTGACTGTAAACTCCCTTTATATCCATAGTAGTGGCATTGTGATTGTTAGTATCATATAATGTCATCTTTTGTCAAGAGAATTTCTAAAGATAAAACTAAAGATGAACCACCCTCAGAATTTTCTGATTATATTTTATCATGGCAACGCTGCGAGCATCACTGAACAATTAGAAGAATGTAATCTTGGAAGTATCCCGGTACAGTGAAGTGTATTTATTTATTAAATTCACATCTAATTTGCTTCTGTTCATCATGAAAGTAACCCTGGTGTTTTTAGTTTGAATTTTCAATACAAATAGTGGCTGTGAAACAGCATGACAGAGTTTTACAATTTCTGATCACATGAATAATTGTTGTATGAATTTGTAATTTGTTCACAAGCCAATCAAAAGATTGATTCTTTTTGTATGTAACACTATAACCTGAATTTCAGCAGAGCTGCCCATTCACAGTAGAAATATCAGTTGAAATTTTCCAAATATCATCATTATATCTATTATTGATGTACAAAAATATATGATAATGTGATCTGTATGAATGTACACTGTGTCAAAATGTGTCAAAATTATTTGTAATTATTTTATTAATTATTATTTATACTAGTACATTGTAAAGTTGGTACTGTTATGTATATACAGGTAAACTTTCATTGTGTGAATTATATACAGTTGTGCTTCACATAATATTATTAGTCCTGGTCACAAATGACCAGTTCTAAAAGATATCATCATATTGCAATTTCTTTTTAAATGGAAATCTGATTTTTTGATAAGACAAATGTACCAGTTTTTAATTATTTTCACCATTAAATCATGTGATACTTCACTTGTAAAATGTATTATTGCATACATGATATAGACTATGTACATGCCTGTAGACTTGCATACAGTCTCTTGTTTATTTTTTGGTGTTTTTTCATATTTGTGTGTAAATAAAGAAAGTCGGGTTATGTCGAAATAATTTTTTGGTAACCCAGCTTTCGCCATTTATAGACTCACATATTTAATTTATTGAAAAAATAACACCAAAAATTAAATAAGAAACTGTATGCAAGTCTTACATGCTTGCGCTCTCTCTTTCAAAGATACCAGTACACTTATATTGGAAGTTCCAGTATGCAAATTATCTAATTAAAATGCTAAAACAAATATCAGTCTTGCAACTACTCAAACAGTATGCATGAAATAACTTTAGCTAACTTATTAGGTCAAATAAAATACCAGTAAATGCTGTGTTTCCAGTAACTCAATCTACAGATACCCGGTCCAGTTGAGCTAACTAATGTATGAAATAAACAATCTGGTAATTGGCAAATAAAATATCAGTAAATGCTGTGTTTCCAGTAACTCAATCTACAGATACCCGGTCCAGTTGAGCTAACTAATGTATGGAATAAACAATCTGGTAATTGGCAAATAAAATACCAGTAAATGCTGTGTTTCCAGTAACTCTATCTACAGATACCCGGTCCAGTTGAGCTAACTAATGTATGAAATAAACAATCTGGTAATTGGCAAATAAAATACCAGTAAATGCTGTGTTTCCAGTAACTCTATCTACAGATACCCGGTCCAGTTGAGTTAACTAATGTATGAAATAAACAATCTGGTAATTGGCAAATAAAATACCAGTAAATGCTGTGTTTCCAGTAACTCAATCTACAGATACCTGGTCCAGTTGAGCTAACTAATGTATGAAATAAACAATCTGGTAATTGGCAAATTGGTTAATTAATGTGCACAGAATAATTCAAAACTATTAGACATTCATCTAGAAAAGCAGCAAGCATGAACCAAATTTTAATGCACTTTTAAAATTTGGTTAATTGTTATGTTAATTACATAAGTAATATGCATTGATTTGTACCACAATCTAACCAGGTCTGGAGTTTATTATATGGTGTCTACGGTATGTACCAAATTTTACCAGTTTTGGCACACTGGCACACACTCGCATATACATGATCCGATTTCACTGAAGCCGACCTTACATTGCCAAGATGTCACTTACGTGAAGTAGAATTTATAGGTAGCACTGTTAAAAGCAAAAAATGGAATAATGCATTACACATCTTTAACTCGCTCTACATGCAAGTTTGGCTCCAGAACTTTCAATCATATTGTTGGAGGTCAGTCTTGTTGAAGGCTACTCACTGTAATAATGGAGCTCCATGAATTAATAGATTATCTACCTGAGATATGGTGGAGCCCAATCTGATTAAAATAAGATCCTAGTTTTGGCATTTTTTTGTATATTTATTTTATTTTATTTTGATCTAGTATTTATTTTTTGAAGTGTTGGTAATTGCGAAAGCAAACAAGGATCTGACCCGATGCCTATGTAAGTCCCACTCGCGTAAGTAACAGCCAATCACAGCCCCCTTTTATACAGACTGTCGGTTGCTTACTTTTCAGTGTAGCGATAATCCACGGGCAATCTTTCTGTACATTAAATTTTGCCCACTTGAATAAACCATTAATAAATTTTTTTTTTATTTACAAAAGAAATTCCACAGCATTTTACAATTTTTGAATATTTTTTTCACTTCCAACAAATGTGTACACTTCCTGATACATCTTCGCCAGCCAAGGTTCGTTTATTCAGTCAACGCTTCAATTTTACATCAAACACCTAGCATAATTATCTAGAATGGAAGCAAAAAAATAAGAAAATCGTAATGATTAGAACACTGTAAACAGCTATAGTAAACAATGCAAACTGATTTTAAATTGTATAACTGTCACCGGCCCACAGCATCAACGCAGAATATTGGAGCAAAAAAATATTTCATGATCACTTGCGATGTGTTGCAAATAAACAATATTTTATTCCAGTCCAAATCAGCTCAATTACTTTTATAAAGAGTTATTGTTTAATGTACAACATGTTGATACATTTTGATGAATATTTACAGCTACGGCTACACCGATGACGTCATCATCACGTTGGTCAATGTTTAACGATTCATCGACGCTTGATTGAATTGATAAAGAGTCATCGATAATTAACGTCTTGTGATGTTGCTCCGCCCCGAGGATAGTATTCTCCGCTTTTCTACTGAAGAGGGCGCAAAAAATGATGACGTCATGCCGGTCTAAACTAAACCAGCAATACGGATTATTGACCGACCTAGTTTAGGCTAGCCTTCCCCCCACGTGTAAACACCATATAGTAATCGCCACATTAGTCCAATGGGCCCAATATCACGTGACTAAATGACGTCATTCAAACATTCGTTTTCTGTAAACAAATCTTCATTACGCCATGCCCATACATTCTGCCTTCTTTAGACTTACATATGTTTCTGGCATTTCTCGCTGTTTCTGTGCAAATTTATAACAAAAGAAACTCGCCTAACTTTCGAGAGTAAAAGGAAACCCCTGGGGCCACGAGCGTAAGCGCTGACGTCTGGTAACCAGAGGAAATAGAACAAACAACGAGAAAGTGACGGAACCGTTACTAGTTACCGACCTCTTGTGGCTTAATACGCCATGACACTTGAGGCGGGAACCAGCCAATAACTAATGTAAACGACGAAAACGTTAAACCACGCCTTCGTAAAACACACCTAATGTAAACGACATTAACATTTAAATCACGCCTTCGTAGACCACCTCTATTGTTTACGACGCCAACATTAAAGTATTAAAGTATGTAGAGGTCATAGGTCAATTCTATAAGGTACTTGTGCCAGCGATATCGACATTAAAACATCCAAAAACATGAAATAGCCGCCAATTCAGTTAAATTTCAAATAATCCATGCACCTGAATGGTTAGGTGGCCGTCAAAAGTTTGGGGTAAAGCACAATCGGGCGTGGTTTGTACTTGCATGGGAGACTCTCTGAGTAAACGAGCTGTAAATTTTTTTTTCATCACACACATGGAAAAGATATAATGCAATGTTCCTGCATTCTTTCTTACTGTGATGTCAATCATTTATAGTGGCAAATTGTGGAATTTTTGTAACTATTTTAATTAATGACAAGTTTTCAAATTCCTTCTAATTTTCAGCCTTCTAATGACAACCCCGCATTGAAATTTCGTAAATATTAAGTAAATGTATCGAGAATGCCTCACATATTTGCAGATTATCACAACAGCCAACCGAAAAATCTGTAACAAACTAGTTACAAAGTTGTCAACAGCGATTGCAAAGTTCTTATTATCATTCGGAATTGTTACCTGTGATATCATATTTACAAGTCCTATAGTTAAAAGTTCGAAAATGTGAATAGATATTTCGTTAATTGCTATTAAATTGCCATAGTGTTAATCAAAGTATGTAGGGGTCATAGGTAAATTTTGGAAGGTACTTGTGTCAGCGATATCGATTTTAAAACATCCAAAAACATGAAATAGCCGCCAATTCGCCTTAACTTCGAATAATCCATGCAGCTGTGTGGTTTGGTGTCTGTCAAGTGTTTGTGACAAAGTTGTTAGTATCATTCGGAATTGTTAGCTGTAATATCATATTAACAAGTCCCATAGTTAAAAGTTTGAAAATCCGAATAAATATTTTGTTAGTTTGTGTTAAATTGCCGTAGTGTTACTCAAAGTATGTATAGGTCATAGGTAAATTTTGGAAGGTACTTGTGTCAGCGATATTGATTTTAAAACATCCAAAAACATGAAATAGCCGCCAATTCGACTTAACTTCGACTAATTCATGCAGCTGTGTGGTTTGGTGTCTGTCAAGTGTTTGTGACAAAACACAATCGGGCGTGGTTAGTACTTGCATCGAAGACTCCCTAATTAAACGAGCTGTTGATTTTTTTTTTCATCACACACATGGAAAAGATATACGGCAACGTTCCTGCATTCTTTCTTACTGTGATGTCAATCACTTATAGTGGAAAATTGTGAAATTTTTGTAACTAATTTTAATTAATGAAAAGTTTTGAAATCCCTGCTAATCTTTAAGAACAAGTTGTTGATGCCGTCGGCACGTAGTGGGTTTTAAGCTGTTAACACACCTTG